AACGCGCACCAGGTGAGAATAGCCACAAGACTCGCCTGCACTATTCTCACTCCGGGTGAGAATAGAGGTGGCCATAAAAAATGTCTAAGTCTATATGAAGTAGCCTATTATTATTATTACAATTACAGCTAATCTAGATTTCTAGTAGAGTCTAGACCTAGATCTAAAGTCTAGCAGAGCGTAGTCTTACTTCTAAGTAGATTTATCATCAACTGCTGACAACTCAGACGCAGACAACTGCTCATCATCATCGCTCGATCACGAACGAATTAATTAAGTTGGCCCCTAATAAAGGCCGCCTAATTAAACTCAAAGGGGTAGAGATTTAGAAGTGAACTTATACAAAGCCCTCTCCCTTTCCTCGAAACGACACGATTAATGTAAGGCTTACACTCTAAATTTAAAATTCACTGATGTAGGCCTTCCTCTTTCGGCTTCAGCTGGCCACTGGCCGTTGGTTGTTACGCGATGTATTTATTTTGAAAAAGCCTCCTCCTCTCATTATTTTGGGAGAGTAGCCCCCCTTGACTTTGAGGATCGCCTAAAAACAAAGATTATCATTATCCTGTTGAAAACGCACGATTCAATATATCAATTTTTGAACTTACACTCAAATGAATAATAAAAATAGCTTAATTTGCGATCATGACCAGTATAACAATATTAAATTAGCCCTGATAGTACTTGCTAGGCATGATACTTGCTCTGGGCTGTGATCCCCTTTCCTATTTGATGCTACCGACGTGAATTTTCCCTTTACCAAAACTAACAATAACAAGCGAAGTTTTTACGTATTAAATTATAGTATTTATAGGCGTATGGTACAATAATAATAATTTCTTATATCATTTTCTTTCTCTTTCTTTCAATTTTCTACTCGGGTGTTAAAAAACAACAACTTGTAACTTGTATCTGTCTGTTACGGGTTTTTATTCTCTCATGGTTTTTAATCCGAGGTCGCTCTCTCTCCCCCCCCCCCCCCCCCCCCAAAACAAAAATCCAGCAGTTACTGACTTAGACCTAGAGAGTGACTTCTACAGCCCCCTGACATCACTGAAGGCTCCGGTGGTCGTGGGAACTTTACTTTGAGCTCTGGCCCACAGAAAATGTTGGGGCAACGTCAACTTATGACAACTACAACAATCTCACCACCACCGGAATACGTTTAAGAGTCACCTGTGTGGCCGGCGAGCAGTGGTCAAAACTTCACACCTCCCTGGAGCTATCATAGCCTCTCCTCTGATAATGGCAAGCATCAATCTTACTTATCCATTGCCATCAAAGCCATAAAACATGTTTACTTTGGGAGGGAACTCCAAATTTTCAGAGCATGGGACGAAAAAGCTCTTCCACCAAACTTATTACATGTTACAGCGGAAACTCTCATGAGATTCTCATCGGCAGATTTCAAATGTCCTGATGGTATGTATGACTCAATTCAGTCTAAGATATTGTGGTGGTTTAATATAGATTGTAAAGCGTATAGAGCTTGCTGGTGAGCTTGACTTTACGCTATACAAATGCCATCTATTACATTATCATTAAGCCAGAAAAATATCCACTCAGCTGTTAAATAGCAGGATCAGCATGCAGACCCTTTCATGGATCCTGGAGAGGAGGGAGGAGCAGCTATGGCATTGCGCCGCCTGCACTGATGCCTATTCTCCAACCAAGTATGTAAGTATTCCTCACCTTCTCTACGGTCAGCCTCGCCACTTGCTGTTGAGCGGGACTTTACACTGAACAAATGTCATCTATTACATGATTACTATCGTGCTTCCCCACCTTCTCCACGGTCAGCCTCGCCACTTGCTCCTGGATCTCCGAGTTCCTCGCCTCCTCCTCCAGTAAGAGACTGCGGTCGGACGATGACTGTGTCACCATGGCAACCCGGTCACTCAGCTGTCGCACCTGTCCCTCCAGGCTGACCACCATTTCCTGGGCAGCTCTCTCCCGGGCGTGCGCCTCTTCCAGGTCCTCCTGCAGTCCTTGGACCTGGTGGGGCAAGAACAAAAGGATATCTGATACCTGAACATATCACACATAATGCTGGGGCAAGAACAAAAGTATATCTTAACATAACATACACACTCACATAATGCTGGCACTACACAGACTTACTTTTCACTTCCATTCGGACAATCCGTTTAATTTAAACTACTTCTTGACGATTCACCTTTATATCTATTAGTAATAACAAAATCGATATGCATACAAACATAGATATATATGTGTGTGTGTTTGTGTGTGTGTGTGTGTGTGTTGAAAGAGCTTTTGTTAAGGATAATGTCTTGACAAAGAGGATCAAAAGGCCAAACTTTGTTGATATCTTTAAATTGATATTCTATTCTGGTACTCAATACAGCTTCTATAAAATTTGTTTTCGTTTTAGTAAGAGTTTTACGGCGCTCGCAACTGAGCTTGCTTTATGCTACATTCATTATACAACTTTGCTCATGTATTCTTGGGAAAAAATACAGACTTTCAGGAAACATCAATAAATTCACGGGAAAGATTTCCAGCTGAGATACAATTCAAGACATACGATAGGTTGGGGGAAACAGTAGACACCAAAAATGCAAATGCTTTCAGAATTGTTGGACCCACTCGTATATATATATATATACATACAAGCATGCACACAGCGAAATTGACAAGACACAGAAATCCTTTCCTTTATGTGTACGAATTTCAGGCTATATCAGGGGAGATAACAAAGTTGGGCAATTGGATCAAAATGTTCATGAATTATGCCCCCAGTGCCACGCCAACGAGCGTCTTTGCTTCATAGTTGATTTTACACGTTTTTACACACATTTGGGATTTTGACATTTGTTTTTTTATTCCCTTCTGCTAGGATCAACTGCATAAGGTCATATGAGCGCCAGAAGATTAGAGGTGTTACAAGAGAGTAACAAACATAAAAAAGAAGAAGGGGAGATTATAAGGATGATAGATGTTTGATAGGAAAGAAGAAGCAAACCACACATCAAATAATTAGGAAAGAGAACAAGCTGAGCAAGTGTTTACAATTACATCTAAGAACATCGACTTCTTGATGAAAGACTCCTTTTTTTTCTTGTTCGAAAGTGTTTTACGGAAATTGCAACACAATAAAGTCATATTTAGTGCCCAAGATGAGAGGTGTCACAAGGGAGTAACAAACACAAAAAAGAAGGAGGGGAGATAAAGACGATAGATGTTTGATAGGACAGAAGGAGCAAACCACACCAGAGCACCCTCCAACCACCCACTGACAGACTGTCATAAATCACTTTTCAAAACAGAGTATGGCAAAGTCTAACACTTACAAACCAGTCGATACATGAGAGAAAACAAAACAGACACACAGTGCGTGACAACTGACCAGCTCCCTGTTTGCCGTGACCAGAGCGTTCCTCGACTGCTGCGCCTCCTCCGCCTCATGACGCCGCTTCGTCTCCTCCGCGAGCGCGACCTTGAGCTCAGCGTTCTCGCTCTCAGCATGCTGGATGTTGGCGTTGAGTGTCTCGATCGTTGAGTGAGCAACATACAGATCTTGAGTTTTTTTCTGGGAAAGATTGTCAAACCAGTAGCTTTTTATGAAGCCATAGGCCTATATATATA